GACTTGTCCATTCGAATACGAGAATGGTAATTTGGAGGTAAGCCTGAATGGCCTAGACAGAGAGAGGGAGGGACAGGCAGAGACAGACAGAGACAGAGAACCACTGCTTGATGTGTGACCTCTGAAGTGCCCAGGGATTAGCCAATTGTTAATCTTGGTTTGTAAAGTTTATAACCTGTTGCTATAGAAATGTGGATGCCGTTTAGCGTATAGAGTATCGTCAGCCTGATAAATATATGTTTAGTATTACTTATATCGAGTCTGTATTTAGGTATTCATATATCCTTAAATTTATGGCTATATATGGATTCTGGATATTTAATTATGTGATTAAAATTGTGTTAAGTATCTCTGGATTGACTCTGTAATGTAAGCCATCATGTTAAGTGCCTCATTGAGTGTATTTCTGATTTTGGAGTGAACGGGGAAAATAAACAGAAGTAAAATAATTGCCCAATTACGCTATGCATATATATTATCCATACCTTCACATAATTCAATTATATTTATCAATGAGCTACAATTTCTTGAGTGTATATGAACATCAGTATATACGAGGTGTGCTCAAAAAGTATTGCGAAACAAGACATAATTATCATAATCTGATGAGAACTACTTTGAAGGAAAGAAAATAGATAATCATGAAAACATTGATAATTTTTAATGGAATATAAAATTCGGGACATTTGAATAAATATACCATGAATAACATACCCAGATTTAGCATACCAAGATCTATTTCCAGTACACAATTCAATTCTCATCATTCCATCATGTCGTTAGCCATCTGTTCTATCTCAACAATCACATCGCTCACATAACATAACATATCCATAACATAACATTAACATGATTGTTTCTATGTTTATTTGTGGTTTGCCTCTTAGCTTCTTAGGCACGACGATTTGCTGGTCCATTTGGTTCTACGGACCCAATAATTCATCATATTTTAGCCAATGAAAGGGCTTCAACATATTTACCGGCACGCCCTAGCTGCAGGAGCCGCTCACGTGCCACGCCCAAAAATATACATAATCAGCTAACATATGTACGATGCGTGTGTATTGGGGCAGGGACAACGCGACGAGACGCGATGCGACTCGGCTAGCCGCACTGGCATAGGCGACGGGCGAACGGGGCAGCCGGTGGAGTCGGTGGAGCCAAAAGGTAGCAGTCGATGGGCTATCCTGCGTGTAGTGGGGCTTACATTGTATAATTTATGAATCGATTTCGTTGAGGAAGCCCCAGCAGCAACAGCTAGGATAAGAACAATGACAACGACGACGACGTCAAAGGCGAAGTCAAAGGCATCGCCGTCAGCGTCAGCGTCAGCGTCGACGTCAGCGTCGGCGAGCGTTGAACGAGCCTTCGCGAATGATAACCTTGTTATGTATTCAACGAGCTTACCTAAACACTCGAATGTCTTCGTCTATCGTCAGAGGTCGTACGATAGACGTCTTTTGCTTGTCTACCCCCCATGGCTGCCCCGCCTCCTGCTCATGCTGCGCCTGCTACTGCTCCTGCTGCTCATCGATATGCGTGTGCCGTTCCCTTCAGCCAGTGCTCCACTTGTGGTCAGCTCGGCGATTGTTGTTATTGGTGCGGCTCCAACTAAAGCCGGCTAACTGTGATTGTGGCGTTAATTACGCATACGCCGCGTACGCAGCCATTAAAGCCGTCCACGCGTCTCATTAAAGCCAGCCAAAAATAAGTGAAAAACTAAAATCGTGATTTAAAAAGGCCCAGCCCAGACACGACCACACCAAATGCAATTAAGGTACGATCCGTAACACTTTTAGCTAAATTTCCGAGGCCACAACAGAAGCTGCAACAACAACAACAACAACAACAACAACTGCAGCAACCAAAGGCAACAATTGCCTGCTGGCTGCAGACTGCGAGCAATTGTTTTATACTCTATCCGAAAGAAGCATATCGATGTAGATATAGATATAGATATATAGATATAGATATAGATATAGATATAGATATAGATATAGATATAGATATAGATATAGATATAGATATAGATATAGATATAGATATAGATATAGATATAGATATAGATATAGATATAGATATAGATATAGATATAGATATAGATATAGATATAGATATAGATATAGATATAGATATAGATATAGATATAGATATAGATATAGATATAGATATAGATATAGATATAG